GTTCAAAAAAAAAAAAACTTGCAGCAACTCAGGATCTCCATTATGTTGCCATTTAGTTTCTTTCTTACATTATGTTTCTATGTGTTTTACTTGTTTTCCATCTGTTGGTTTAGGAAAGGCTTTCTGCAAAATATACTTCAATGCCATTGCTTCTTCATTTTTTTTCCTGCAGAATTCATTTGAGCTTTTCCCCTTTTTTGTGGTTTCTTCCTTCCTACTTTCTCATTGGACTTAATTGAATCTTTTTGCTCTATTAATAAATCTGAAATTTCAAAAGAAAAATTACACTAAATATTTAATGAGTGCAGAAATGTGTCTGCTCTTAATTTGAAAACTCATCTTATAGATACTATATGAACTCACATTACTAAATTCTTTGTTAGTCCAATGTTGAAAATAACTGAATATTAAACCAGCAAATGTTTCCATTACACATGAGTCCGAGAAAGAAATTGGCGCGAAGAATGATTTAAGAAAACCGTTGTGTTTTTACAGCCAATCTGAGAAGGTTAAGGGAGACTAGGGTATAGTTAGTGCTTAATGATTGTTAAAACTAGTTAATCTCATTAATTGACTCTCACTCATCACTCTACAATAAATAATGCATCTTTTTTTTGGCAGAAGAAGAGGTATTCAAATTTGGAATCTAAACTAAGGTAATGTGTTCGACTCTCCCTCTCCAATATCGCTTGGTTGGGGGAATGCTAACAACCTTCTCTCTTAAAACAATGTTATTAACGCATTACACAAACTAATTTTTGTTTCCCATATTTATCCCAATAAAGCGGAGATAAATACCACTAGAACTCTTTCAATTTCTTACATCACAATAACTCAGTCGAACTTCACATCTAGATCCTAGTATTTCCATTTTGTTGATCTGGTTGAACCAGATTTTTGTTCTGTTTCAGAAGCACATAGATGCCTAGAATTTGGTTTTGTTTTGTGGCGGTTAGGTCTTAAACCCTTTGTTAAAAAATGCCAAGTTGTGCAGAATTTATTTTACTCTTAATCAGCAATCTGCTATCTTTTTAAGGAGGTAATTCATGCTAGTGCTCTTAATTTGCAAACTGTTAAATTCGCATTGTATAGTTCCATTTTTCTTTTTCTTTTTTACTGCAAATTGGAAGGATAAACACTTCATACTCACTCATTTAGAAAACCCCTGTTTTACAAGAGTGACAACTTAAGTATCACAAAAGAGACTGCAATCTTGCATTTATTAACAATCGTCCCCTATATTTTGATAGACCTATTACTTGAATTCCAAGTTCCCCAAAATAGAGAGAAAAAGTTACCAGCCCTTCCTAAGAACAGGGCCAAGACTGCAAATTCTGCTGCATGGCAGGATTGACAACTGGGAATGGTACTGATAATAACTTATATGGTGATAGATGAGCAAAGGCAATGTCAAAAGGCAAGAAGAAGTTCTGAACAGCTCTACCATTCGCAAACAAAATCGCAACATATAAACAATTTAAACTTGAGAAGTAGGCAGGGCTAACTGTCTCCACACACGATAGTTAACAAAAAATGGTTCACGATGTGCATAATTTGGATAGAAATGCTTAGGTGAAATGGAGAGGAATTATCTTTAATCATATGAAACACGTGAAATCCCTTTGAGCACAAGCAATTTCTGCAGTTATATAAGATCAGGCTCTAAAATGATTTGGAAAAAGTTCAGTCTGACACCTCGTATATGTTGGCGAGTCCTTACTTAGTTAGGATTTTGGTTCCTTACTATGTTAGGATTTTAGTTACTTACCTATTTGTCTAGTCCAATTATAATTAAGATTTATTTCCTATTGTAATTTAGATTTACTTTCTATTGTAATTAACCCTACAATTATGTGGCTTAAAAGAAAAATATTCGGTCATACTTAAAAAGACTAGCTATAATTGTTGCAACCAATTATGTCCAAAGGAAGGAGAAGCTACCAGAGCAGCCCGATGAGACTTGTCGAGTCCTTCAATGAAACTGAGAGTTATCTGGTTTCATATTCTGGAACCTGCCCTTCATTATCTGGTTTCGTCGATTGTGATCGGCACTCTTGGATTTGGTGATGCTATACAGATAGGAAAATTGCTCATAGGAAGGCTCCCCTTCCTCGGCAATGCCGAACGCTGTCACCAACCCCATCAGGGCCACCTAGAAATTGGGATTGTACTGGCCTGGAGCATAGCCGATTTGGGCAAGGATCTTTTGAACGGCAGGCTGCAACGACAACCTAACGCCTTGCTGGAGGACGTCCGTGAAGAAGACGACCTCACCGTCCTCTGGATTACTGAGGGATTCGGTAGGACCTGGGATCCTCATCCTTACCGAATCTGGGATACCGTACTCAAGACGAATCTTAACAAGCTCCCGTACGGTCATCTTATTAGGCTCTAAGTAGTCTACGCCGAACAGATGCTCCTTCGGCATTCCCATTGGCACCCTAGGATTCCCCCGATGAACTACGGTCACCCTCGGCTGGGAAGGAAGTTCGGTAGAAGCCTCTCCGCGGCCAGAAGTAGAGTTCTCCCGTTGACGACTGGTGTACCGATCTGTCACCCGAGTATCCCCCATCTGGGACTCGAAGTGTAGGTTCAGGCCGGTGTGCCTGCCATCTTTATACACCACAGCCAACGACTTTGGCTGGCTAGTCATAAGCCCTTTACCAATGCCGTGGGTGGGTACAGAGCTAATCCTCTCACCGATGACCTCAACATCGGTATCTCCACCACTCTTGGCATCAAGACTCGAGGTCTCACTGCTGGAATCCCCTTGTCCATCCGATGACTCCTCATCAAACGTGTTGGGTTCCCTCTCGAACGGGGACTCGCTATCAGACATCTACAAAACACAAAAAGGGAAACTAAGGGCCATGCAGAAGACTAGCCTACCGATACCTACATCACTACCTATGGCAACTAGACTACCGAACGAAACCCCACTTGCACAAAAGTTCAGTCTAGTTCATGCCAATGAAGGACACATATAAACAAAAAGTATAGGGTGCCGAACGGTACCTTTTCTCGAACTATAGACGGAGGTGAGTCGACTTGACTACCGAATGATCTCGCCGGAAATCGCCTTAATTGCCGATTGATCACGTCAGAAATCGCCTTGATTGCCGTTAGCTCTCGCCGGAAATTGCCTGGACAGAGCTCTCGCTTCACTCACAAACGCAAAGTGAACTTCTCATCCGGAATCACTCCTATTTATAGGGCGAAGAATTGGAATGGTACACCTCGAGAAACCAAACGGCGCATTAATGGCGCCGCTCTGCATGAGTAGACACGCCACGTGTCACACGATGAATGGAGGGTCTGACAGCAAGCGGGGCACAAAAGACAAAGCGTCATTCTGTCCCATCATTTCTCCTCCCCACCGCGCGTGCCTTGAACCAAAGGTCCAACCTATCCAAGTCGACGACTAATTGGAAAGGCCTGACGGTACCCATTCCATATGGCCTCTGCTACCGAACAGCAACCTTCGAAGTGGCGACCTTTGAGTTTCCAAGGGTATGCTTACCGAACGAAAAGGCGCAGATAAGGGCCAAAGCACCACCCTCTACCCATCTACCGAATGGTCAAACAACATTTTCACTACCGAAGAAGGAATCAAGTCCTCATCCGAGAATTCTCAAATGAGAACTTGGGGGACTCCTGTTTATACCAAAATGAACAGCCAATAAGAACAAGACACGTGGACAAAATTGAGTCTGGTCAAAGTTGCCTTCGGCACCCAGTACCTGGTCAAAGTTGCCTTCGGCACCCAACCTGCTTCCCATGAAACAAACAAAATCCCCTCCCATGGGACGCGTGGCATGCTCACAATCGACGTCCACAGTCCCACATCGAAATTCTAAACCAAGTGCACACCTCCCAAGGCCTATAAAGGAGGCCAACTATCCCAAAATGGAGGTAATCAGAACTAATGGTATACAAGCCTACTGATCTGTTAGTTTAATTTACTAAATCCGAACTTACTTAAGTATCGAAGAGCCTTCGGCCGGTACCACACTAGTGCCCTAGGTCTTACCGAGCGTTTTCTCATATTGCAGATCGCACTCCCTACCGAGGCCATAAGGATACCAAAGGCCCAAAATCACTAAGTTAAGCCTAAGAGTGCAGAACCACTTTTTGGCGTCAATAGTTATCTTATAAAAATGCACCTAATGAAATTATGGTGAGATTATCTTCGTCTATATTTATTTTTTAGTACCAAACATTGGATTGGAATCCTCTACTAATCCTACCCACCGAATGATATTCTAAAGTTGTGTTTGTCACATTTCATAACAAAACTAAAGTTGTGTTTTGTGTCTTCAATTTCTAGAGAACTGAGAACGCCCTTATTGTCAATGTGGGTTCACTCCAAGATTATGGACTAACTAATCTTATTCTAAAACCAATATTGACAGGCAAATTGGTGATTGGAACTTCGAAATGAAGTGGCTCATTGACAACTTAAAGGTAAATTTTTCTCAAGAGGCTAGGTACGGTAGGGATTGGTTGTATTATTTGTAAAGTTTTTAATTAAAATAGTCATTATAAAGTATTTTAGTTAAAGAGCTTCTAAAATAATATTATAATTTGAATATTAATTTTTTTTTTTAAAGAGGTTCTAAAATAATTTTAAGTTTTTGAAGTTGAAACTTAACTTGAAAATAGAAAGCACGACTGGAGATGCTAAAAGTCACGCTAAATCAAAATGGAGCTGAATATTAGAATTGAATTCAAAGTTGTTTTTTTTATTGTATGTGTTGCTCTCTTATTGGAATTTGGTATGTTATTAGGTTGATTAGGATTATTATATTTTTGGTCGAGAGGTTGATTAGGATTAAACTGGAACAAGAATATGAAAAGTTTTATTAGAAATTGGTATTTTAAAGGCCAAATATTAATTTTGGGTGTCGAAGAAAATAAAAGTGAAAAGGCATTAGAAATAGGCACGGATGCTTGTTATCACAACTACACAAACATATTGGTAATTCTGCCACGACAGTAAATAAGTAAACAGGCTCAACCTGATTCTCAATCGAACCAAAAATTTATCAATGATCAAGCCAGTAATTTATTTAAAAATTTATACACCAACTAGTCTAGGAAAGCCATGAATTAATAACTACAAAGTAAAGTGGACACGACTCGAACAACATATTCTGCTCATTTCATTCTTCATCCCCTGTCTATGACTGAGACTAGACTCTCTGAGTAAAAAATAGTTTGTGAAAAATATTTGTCAAGCCCATAAAAACAAAGATTCTTCTTAATATTGTGTGTACTTGGGTTGTATAAGACCAGTTGCCCGCTGCAATCTTCCAAAAGAAATTGACCATCTCTCCAAAATCCCATTGGCTTAAAAAAACCTGCAACAAGACGTATCGAAAGAAGTTTAGTCCAAGAGTCGTCGTCGTCGTAGTCTTGTTTGACCCACACGTCAAACCATTGCTCCTGTGGTTTACATGGAGAAACAATCAAAGAGAGAGAACCATTATACGATGCAAGCTCATAAAAAGTACTATCTGAGTCCTGCACAATAGTAAGGCAACTTGGAAGCCTCATCTCGTGCAACACTTCATCAAACATGCTGAAACAAAGAACTCTGTAATAAGCCGTGACGTCCCCAGGAACAAAATTAGCTGCCAGCCAGTGAAAGTTTCCCTTCACATAGGTGTTAATAGAAGACTTGATGATAGAAACATCAACACTAGACGGCACAGTATCATCGGCCTTTCTCCATGAATTACAACTTGAGCTATATACTAAAACCTGGAGGGGAAAACACAAAGTTTGCGCTTCATTACAAGTGCAGTTCACAATTAAAACCACCTTGTAGTCGTTGGTTTTAGGATCGAAACCAAATCCAACAGTTTTCATTGAACACGGATGAGGTTGGATACTCAATTCTGGAAGAACCTGGAATTCTCTCAGTGCAACATTTACCAGCATAATACTGCGAAGATGGTCTAAACAATACATGCCATTGCAGGGACCAAAAATATCAAGATATAGCTTCTCATCTCTATATGGTAAATCTAGTAGATGGAGAGAAACATCCTCTTCTATGTTGTATGCGTAAAGGGAGTTGACATGATCAGCTGGCTCAAGATGGGTGGGATGACAACAACAAGGCGTTGTATACGTAAAGAGGAGACAATTCTCACTAACATTCTTGTTGTTGGAGTACTGGTGGAGGTGTTGGATGATAAAATTAGGGTTCTTGATGAGTTCATACCAGGATTTGCAAACACATTGGAAGCGCTTCAAAGATTTCACAGGGAGTCTACAAAGAATGTTGGCGAACACATCTGTGGGGATGTTTATCATGTATTTTCTTTCTTTCTTTCGTGTGCGATTCTAGGTGCAGAAGAACATGAGTTAAACAGAAAGAAAAACCAGAGCAGGTATATTCATCTTGAAATTGAGAAGAAAAAAAACACACACACACACACACACACATATATATAGTGCAGATGTGTGTATAAAACGTATGTGTTTTATGCAATTTCAAATTTGGGTTGCATTATGAAATCTTTAAAATTAGTATATATCCGATTTAATTAAAATCCAGTTAAACAGCCAATTTAGTGATAAGCAAAAAATTTCTTCCTACGTACATAAACAATTTATTTATCCCAAAGTTCTGTATCTTCTATGAATTTGAGGTAACTTTTAATTAGGCATGCATATCGATTTTCCAAAAAAAAAAATTGAATGAATGAGAAAAAAGAAAAAGAGAAAGGAAGAAACAACTACATAAGATAAAACCCTACATCAAGGAGTCTGACTCTGTTTGAGTTTAATAGAAGGAGAGAAAAGAAAGAAATGGTCTAGTAATTAGAAATAAAAAAGAAAAAATATATGTTTGGATCGATGGTTTTAATCTGCGTACATCTCGGTAACAGTATATTGAGCTTCGGCTTCTTCCTCTTCCTTCATGCCCCTAAACCCTAATTATATATATATATATATAGAACATATAAAAATTTAATGTCTCCAAAAAGGCAAAATGGTAACCTAACCCTAATGTATCCAAAAAACACCCTAAACCCTTATAAATGCTAACCTACCACAATACAATTGTTTTTTATATTTTATTTTAGAATTAAGTGATCCCTGACCATTTATTTTAATACAAAATAAGAATCATGTGGTAGACAGTTATACACTAACATTATATGTGGACTAATAATTTTACCTATTCCGAATTAGTCAGCTAATTTTTCTTCTACTTTCTGATTTTTACTTCGCTCTTATGCTCATATCAAGTGGACTACTAATGGCATGTTTACGTATCAATAATGGGTATAAGAATCATTCCAATTCCTTCATCCCTTGTCTTTAACACTCGGCATTGGAATCCCCCTCGGCATTGGAATCCCCCTGCGTTTACTTACACTTAGAAATAAAAAAATTATGAGAGTTCCATATTAAAATTCATAATAAAATTAGCTAGGGGGAGCAGTTGATCCAATTCCAATTACTTATTCCCTTATTCCTAAGTGCCCCAATTCCTTGCAAGTACTAAAATTTAATGAAACCTTTTGTTTCTCTAGATTTACCTTAATATTTTAGATTTGTCAACTTTTTTTAAATCTTTAGGATGTAAATCTTTCATTAAAGACCAAGTTGGGAAGAGATCAGGCTGCCTTGCTATCCTATGTAATAAAAAAGAAAAAGAAAATCTATTCGCGTGTGTGCAAATAAACTTCAGAATTTTCATGGAGACACAATACTTATCTTTTCTGTCTATAATACTTTGATCCGTCCGAGGATAATATGGTAGATCTCTGTCCTAGTTGCAAGACTCTTCAGAAACTATAATTCAAATTTTTTTTTTTTTTGGTACTAGTATGCTTAACTTTCTTTGATTCACCATATTTTGTCTTTGGTATTGACTTCAGACAGAGTTTTGAATATGCGTGTATAAGGAAGCTGACTGGACAAGCTGTGACTTTATCATATAACTAGAAAGATGAGGAGTTGCTCTTCAATTTTCGGATTAGTTTCGAGTAGTCATCACTCCTTTGAATCCTACAATTTGCCTCACTAAGGTTTCCTTATATTCAAGAACAGATACTTATACGCACCCGTAAAAAATAAACTAAAAAAACATAATAAAAGAGAAATAAAATTAACCCAAATGCACTAAAAAAAACCTGCTAAAAAAATGAAAATTTCTGTCTGTCGGTCTGTTTCTCTCTCCATCTCTGTCTGTCTGTCTGTTTCCCAAAGTTTCCAAACCCTCTTTTCGTTCTTCCATGGCTGTTCAAATCACAGAAGGGTTTCAGGGTTTGAACCCATATGCCCCCGAGTTCTTCCCTAATCAAAACCTACTATCACTCTCTGGTTCAATAATCCCCTCCTACTTTTACCCCCCACCGCTTCTGGTAAACCCTAACCAGTATTCCTACTTATACTTCTCTTACTTTCATAAATAAATAAAAATGAAAATTTCTAAACTCGGCTCAGCCGAGTCGGCTGTGCTCATAAAACCATTCCAAGCCAAATTAACAAAATGGGCATCAATAAATCAATCTGACACTGAAAGTACTAATTTCCCATGAAACAAACAAAATCCAAGCAATATCTACTTCAAAACCTTCCACAAATTCTCATCGACTTTCTCAAAACCCAGAACTTATCAACAAATCCAAACAAAAAGGGCAAAAACACTTACGGAAATCAATATCCAGGCGGGGCTTTCCATCTTCAAGAGCATAAGCAAGCGATTTTAAAGCATGAGTGACAAGAACTTCATAGGACTGAAACTCCGGACTTGGGATCAAGACTTGAAGCTGAAGAGCCTTTGTCAGCGCATCTCTGTGTTTTGTGGTTGATTTGGTTTTTCTGTGAGGAAGAAAAGGGCAAGAGGCCGAAATGGGATTTTATGAACTTTGTTCTGCTGTTGGGTCCTCAAACTTTTAGACAATTTAACTTCGATACTTTTAATTTTGTCAAATTACGATTTTGGTTTGATTGTAATTTTGAGATTTTGTAAACTCGCCTAAACTGAACAACACCAACCACTTGTGTATTTATTTTTATGTTAGATGTATAGCATTCTCAGTGGCTAATAACCAACCAGATAAGAATTTCCAATTTGAATTTTTAATTATTAATTTCTTAGTTATTAAACTTTGAAGTTTGATGGCATATCAAATTTTAAGATGAAAATTAAAAATATGTAGCAAGCTATGAGAATATTTTTTTTTTGGTTAAAAAAGAAAACATTCTCTCAATCAAAATTGCTCATCATAGTGGTGACTCATATTAATCAAGGTATATTGTTTGAGAATTATATATATTTTTTATGATTCGTCCAAAAAAAATATTTTTTTTTATATGAAATAATAAATAAATTTGATTTCAACAACAAAAATGTATATTCATTCATGGCTTCACCCAAAAGTTAAAAGTTAAAAACCTATTTTCAAAAGATTTTTTTGTCTACAATTTTGTCTTTTTATGGCAGCTAGCTGTTGTCAAAGTAAAAATAAATTTGTAACTTCACGCGTATTGGCGCGCTTAAAACCCGACTGTTGGAAAAAGCACAGAACACCACCGATTTCATTTCCTCAAACCCTAAGCCCCAATCGTTCGTCTTCCTGTTCTCCGAATCAAGAATTCAAGTGTAGCCGCTCATTCTCAGTTACAATTCCAATTTACCCAAGAAATATTTTGTATTTTCTGTGAAGAAATCATGAAACGGAAGGCAGAGCAAGAATTAAAAGAAGGAGGGGAAAAGCAAAGGATGTGGTGGGGTGATGGAAAGCAGTGGGAGAGAGGGGAGATGATCGGAGAAGGAAGCTATGGGTTTGTTTTTCTAGCTTTTTGGAAAAAAAAAACCCCTTTGGGAGCTTAATCTGAATGATACGCCTCCAGCTCCAGTCATGGCAGTCAAATCTACTAAGCTCTCTGATTCAGAATCCATTCAGCATGAGGCAGGTATTCTCTCTGATTTTATAGGTTCCCCTTTTGTGATTCAGTACTTAGGTGAAGAAATCACAACCATTGATGACACAAGTGAAGAAATATTCAACTTGGCTTTGGGATTTGCTGCTGGAGGGACCCTCGATGGCCTGATTCAGAGCTATAGAGGTCATGGGCTGCCTGAGTCTGATGTGAGAAGCTACACAAGGTGCATACTTGAAGGGCTTGTACATATTCACAATTGTGATTATGTTCACTGTGATTTGAAGCCGGAGAACATCCTTCTTTTTCCTAGTGATACGAGCACCAGTGGTAGTTCTAGTTTTGTGGCCAAGATTGCTGATTTCGGATTGACTAAGAGCACCAAAGACGATATGGATGGATGGAGAGGCACTCCTAGGTATACAGACCCAGATGCTTTGATTGATAATGTGCAGAAGCAGTGCTCTGATATTTGGTCTCTTGGTGCTATTGTGCTTGAGATGTTAACAGGCAAGCCCCCCTGGGATGTGGAGCCTGATTCGACTCTTGATGATTTCCTCGACATGGTTGCTGGGGAAATAACTCCCAAAATCCCTACTGAAATCTCTGGTTTGGCAAGGGATTTTCTTATGAAGTGTCTTGCAGTCAACTCATGGGAAAGGTTTACTGCTCAAAAGCTCCTACTTCATCAATTTGTACAGGAGCCACAACTATCTGAACCAAGTCATGCCAAGGTGAAGGTGCTTAGCTCATCTTTGGGCTCCAAAGATGGTGCCTCTTGCTTCAAACCAATTGAAGATTCCCGCACAACCTCTGCCCCTGTTCCCAGAATTCCGCCCCCACCGGGGTTTGAGATACCAGCTGGACTATAGAAGTTGAGGTTCTATTTCATGATACAAACCTTATGATTCTTTATTCTAGTATTTTTTT